GGCTGCTCCTGTGCTGGGGTTTGGGGGGTGCTGCTCCTCTGGGGAGTTTGTCCCGGGACAGGAGGGAGTTGTGCCCAACCCCTGAGCTCTGCAGGGCTGTCAGCTAAGGGGTGTGAATATTCCTTGAGCTCCAGCCCTTCCTGCCTGAGCCACCTGGGGACGGGAACATCCTGGGGATGCCTGGAGGTGTTGCCAGAGGGGGGGGGGAAAAAACCAACCCCATTGAGATTTGGGGTATAAACAAGCCTGGGAAATGATCCTCATGGTGAGAACCCAGCAGCTCACGGATGTTTTGATCCTCCTCCCAAGTTGGGGTTGGTTTAAGCCTTTGTGTTTGATCCACCAGCAAATACCTGGGGTTCCTTTTCTGGTTTGGCATTGAGGCCTTGCCTGGTGTTTGGAATCGTGGCCCCTTCCCTGCTTTTTTTTGGAGGGAACCCCTTGTTGGACACAACCCTGTTCCAGGGAAGCAGCCTCTGGGTGAATCATCCCTGGGCAGAAGTAGCTCTTGCTGGGAACAGGGACATTCCCAACCTGGGCTGGAGCCCCGTGTCTGTGGGCACTGCTGCCTCCTGGCTGGGTTTGACAGGGTCATTCAGAGCTGGGACAACTGGGGGAAGGATTTTTATCCCTCATCTCCCCTCCTGTGTGGGGCAGAGTTGGGGTTTGAGCTGCATCTCCTCAGCTGGAGAGGGTGAACGAGGCTTCAGCCACTTCCTAAGTTACTCCTCATGCTGGTCCCTCCCTTTTCTTTATCATAAAGGGGAAAAAAAACAACTGAGAGATCTGCCCAACAGCCCCTGGAGGTGAGAAATCCCAGCCTGGACCTTTTATTCATTAAAAAAAACAACCCCAGCCCTGGCTTAGATATTTTTTTTTCATTTCTCCTTTGCATAAAAAAGGAAGGTGTGGGTGCAATTCCTGGCAGGGAGGGCTGAGAGCAGAGGGCAGCTCTTGCAGAATCCTGGCAGGGATGCTCCAGGTTCCTGGGGGCAGGAATTGTCCACCCTGACTTGATGGATCATTGTTTTCCTTAAAAAAATAACCCTTCAGGAAATGGTCCCTTCCACAGAGGGGAAGCAGCCCCGAGGCACTTGGCTCTGGGATCCTGGGGCAAGGAGCTGGTTTTGTTTTCCAGCTGTTGGGAGAAACTGGGTTTATCCCCACTGGGGGTTGTTGGTGCCCATGGTGGTCCCAGGGGGTGTGGGGAGAGGAGGCAAGAGCTTGGCAGGGTTGAGGACAAGTTCATGTCAGCTCAGGGTGGGTGATGCTGCTTCTGTGCTGGGCAACTCGGGAAGGAGGCAGAGCTAAAAATAAGCCCCAAAATGACCAAACTGGCTTTTTTCTCCCACTCCCAGGGGGGGGTTTTATGTACATAACAAAGTGGTGATTCAGGTGAGGTGGCCTGGGAGGTGTTTGGGGGCTGAGGAGGGGCTGTGGATGGCACAAAGCTCAGGGCTGTGTTTGACCTCATCTGCCCCAAAGGGCTGCTCCTCACCCTTTCCTGCTTTGCCAAGTGCAAACATCTTGTGCCCAGGAGTGAGATTTTTAGGGAGGCAGCTCCCAAAGTCCCCAGCACCCCTCTGAGCTGCCTGTCATGCCCAGTGTCCATGGGGATCAGCAGCCCTTCCAGGGCTGTCCCACTGTGGCCACCACATCAGGACCCCAGGCTCCCTTTTCCCACCACTGACACCTCTTTAGAATAGAATGAAAAACCAAATAATTACAATGACTCTTTCACGTTTAATTCTATTTTTTTTCCCCCTGTTTCTCTTGGTTTGGCCCTGAAAACTGGTGCCTAATCCCAGTTATTTGGCTTCAAACGATGCCTGTAAATAACCACCAGCTTTTGATGGATGATGCTTCTACCCAGAAATAATGAACATTTTGGTTTGAAGGTTCCCCCCCCAAAAAAAGGCTCTTTGGACAAATATTTCAACGTGGGGTTTCATTTTGCTGCCTGTTCCCTTTGCAGCAGGGACCCTCTGAGGCACAGGGGTGGTTTATTCTTGTCATGAATTGCACTTGTGCCCAAAATAGTTTGATCTGGGCTTCAAACCAGCCCCATCCCCTCCACAAACCACCTTTGGTTGAAAAACTCTTCTTGTTGTCACGCTGACCAAAAAAAACCCAAACCCCAACCCAACACTGAAATCCTCCTCGTCCCAGCAAAGCCCAGTTAAAATTTCCTGGATCCCAAGGTCTTTATTTCTCCCACTAACCCGAGTTTCCAAGCCAGGTTTGGCTGCAAAGTTGAGGGGGTTTTATTTTGAGGTTTCCCAACTTGTTTTCATCATCTCGGACCACAAGAGGTCGGTAAAATTCAGGAGACAACCTGAGTTCTGTCTTTGCTCCTGGGCAACAGGAGGGACAGGCTGGGACATCCTGCCTGGAGCTGCTTGGGCACCTGGTTTCATTCCAGGATAATTACTCTGTTAAAAAAAAACACCCCAAACTAATTATACTGGAAGAAAATGAGGGATATTTGGGTGTTGCTGGGGTTTATTGCTGAGATTTTCTGGCACTTCCAAGCTCAGGGGGGAATTAAGAGGGATGAGGAGAATTAAACAGGCTCTGCCTTCTCCCCAGAGATTCCATTTCTGGTCCAAAATATCCCAAGCTCGGGCTTTGCTGCAGTGGGAGGGGGGGATAAAAAAAATAATAATTCAAGGAATTAACCAAACTGCCCCTTTTTTTTGTGTGTGTGTGGTTGGCAGCCCAGAGAGCCCCAGGGATGTCCTCACCATGAGAAGGTGCTGCCAGGGCGTGGGGCTGCCATGCCTGTTTAAGGTCAGTGACATTCTCAGGCCTCTTGGTCTCCTCTCAACGGGGTTGTCCCCTCTTTTCTCAGGGGCAGGGAGCAGGGATCGGGGTCCCAACCTGCAAACTTCTGGACGGGAGCAGCTGGGAGGTGAGCGGGTGTTGGTGGGACCAGGGAGGGCTTCAGTTATGGAGGGGGTGGGTTTGTGGGTGCAAAAGAGGGGGAGGTGGTGACCAAGTGGGTTGAGTTTTGGGTTTAGAGCAGGGGAAGAAGCAGCTCTGAGCCATTCCAGGCTGCTCAGGAGCCTGTGGAACCCAAACTAGGGGGAAACTGGAGCAAAAAGATAAATGGACCTGCAAAATGTTTTGCTCTGTTGGGAAGAGCCAGACTGGTCCTGGCAGCAAGAGGGGTCTGCAGGGACACCAAGCCCATAGCAGAGGTGGGACAGGAGCTAGTTGGGGAGTAAAACTGAGGGCCCTCCCAGCACAAAGGGCCCCAAGGCTCAGCCTGTCCCCATGTCCCCTGGGAGGACGTGTGTGGTCGGTGGCCCGGCCCAGTGACCTTCTCAACTGCAGGAACAGGATTAGGGGTGAGGAAATGAGCTCTTGGTAGGCAGGATAAACGCCTTAGGGCTGGGGCTGAGGGATGTCAGCAGGGAATTAGTCCCCCCACACACCCTTGGGCTGATAAGCCACCTGGGGGACGAGGTAGCCAAGGAGCTCTGTGGGGTCGGCAGCTCTTTGGTGGCCACCATCAAGCCAAGAGCCTTGAACTAACTAGCTGGGTGTTGCCTTTCCACCTGGCAGGGTGTTGGGATGGCCAGCCCCAGGCCTCCCAAGTTCCTCCTGGTCTTTGACTTCGACGAGACCATCGTCAATGAGAACAGCGATGACTCCATCGTGCGGGCGCTGCCGGGGCAGGAGCTCCCGGGGAGCATCCGCCAGACCTTCCAGGAGGGCTTGTACAACGAGTACATGCAGCGTGTCCTGGCCTACATGGGGGACCAAGGGGTCAAGATGGGGGACTTCAAGACTGTCTACGAGAACATCCCCCTCTCCCCTGGCATGCCCGACCTCTTCCAGTTCCTCTCCAAGAACCACGAGCTCTTCGAGATCGTCCTCATCTCCGACGCCAACATGTTTGGCATCGAGTGCAGCCTGAGGGCAGCTGGTTTCTACTCCCTCTTCCGTAAGATCTTCAGCAACCCAGCCAGCTTTGACAAGAGGGGGTACCTCACCCTGGGGCCCTACCACAGCCACAAGTGCCTTGACTGCCCGGGCAACATGTGCAAGCGCAAAATCCTCACGGAATACCTGGCGGAGAGAGCCCAGGAGGAGGTGGAGTTTGAGAGGGTCTTCTACGTGGGAGATGGTGCCAATGACTTCTGCCCTTCCATGGCTTTGACTTCCTCTGACGTGGCTTTCCCACGGAAGGGCTACCCCATGCACAGGATGACCCAGGAGATGGAGAAGAAGCAACCAGGAGCCTTCCAAGCCACCGTGGTGCCCTGGGATTCAGCTGCAGAAGTTGCCCGTTATCTCCAGGAGGCCCTCAAGAAGAAGTGCTGAGGGTGGCTGGGGAAAGTCCTGCTTCCCATGAGCAGCTGGGAAAGAAGAAGCTTGGGGGGGATGGAGGTGGGGTCCTGCACCTCCTGCTGGCTCAGCCCCTCTCCTGGGTTGTTTCCCTGCCTTTCCTCTCCCAGCTCCTTTCTCCCTGGCAATTAAAGCACCTTCTCTAGGTCCTTCCTTCTCCTGCCACGTTGAGTTGAAGCCTTCTCTATGCAGCTCAGATCATCTGCCCAGTGTTTGGCAACACTGATGAGGACTTTGAATTGATGGGTTGGGTTTTCTGGTTTTGGTTTGTGTTTTTTTTTTTTCCCCTTTCCTTACCCTCCCTTCGGACCTGACAAGAGCAATTCCTGCCAGCCCAGCAGCCCCAGGGCTGGGCCCTGCACGTGCTTCCTCCTGCCTTCATCCCCCTCACCTCCTCCAGCCTGGAGCTGCGTCCTGGGCCCTTCAACCTGATGTTCCTTTGCCTCTTTGGGAGGGCAACTGGGAATATAAACTGGAAATCCCTCTTGCCCAGGGCTCCCTGACTTACCCTCCACACCCAGGGCAGCCCCTGGCTCAGCTGTTGAGCCTCCCAAGGGGCTTCATTGGCCCTTGAGACTTGATGCTCTGAAAAAAAACCCACAACCTAAAGTGAGGGACAGGAAACCTTGGGGGGAGGGAGGAGGGAAAAAGACCAACCCTGGAGTGCCCACCCCCAGCCTCTTGCCCAGGGAAGGGGCACAGGGGCTGCATCCTGCTCTGGGGAGGAGGACCTGCCCTTGCCACCCACCTCCATCCTCTGCTGCTGCTTCCAGGGCAAAATGTGCCCCCACCAACCAACTCGTGACCCCAGGTTCCTCCTCACCCCATTCC